TATATATATATTTGTTCCGTTATATAAAGGAACTCAGTACGTGTTTTTACATACAATGTGAAGTGTGATATTTAAGGTACCTTAGTCAAAGAAACAAACCAAAAAGCACATGGAAGAGGAATGTAATTTAAGGTTTGTTTTATAGGTGCTGAATGGTTTGATGGAGAATAATTAAGTGGTCATAATGATTAAAAGACTCTTATGATATATTGCAAAATAAAATATATTTGTTCGATAATTATTTACAATGAAATTAGGATACTGGTTAAAAGAATCTCATGATACAAAATCATTTAGATGATTTTAGAACCATTTTTTAACCAAACAATGATGATTCAGAAGTCGTCTCTCAATGAAACTATCAAGGGATAAACAAACAACTCCTACCTAAAAAGTAGTTACAAAAACTAATGTGTGACTTTAAAAGATGATTATTAATTAGGAATGTGTGTTAATAATCTTATATTTTATTTTAAATACAACAAAATATATGAAAAGAACATAACCATTTGTCATCCATACATACAGATACAATCAATAAGAAATGCGGTTTTCTTCCTGTTTATTCCTCTTTCCATCATGGTATCGTCCATGCTCCATATACACTACCTCATTTCTTATACATTCATTTACTACTAACTTGCACTAATTTACCTTTCCATAATGATCGTAGGACCAATGTAGATAGTGGCGTCCACCCACTTATACTACAGTAAAAGCAGTAGAAGAACCCGTGAAATGTTTGACCGATCCGAAAAGCGATTTCGATGCACCAAAATGTGTTATCCTGTAAACGCCCGAAACCGCTGCATCCGGAATGTGCCATTCGATAGTTGCATAGCTTCGGGCACTTAGCTTTGAAGGCCTCGACCACTTGAACTTTAGGCACCAATCATCATCATCGTATGCCGGTTCCCAGTTATTTCCAGATTGCAAAATCTCCACCAATGCAAACGTGCCTTCGGTCATAAGGTCGTTCCTCGGGCAGGCTGACCAGAACATGGCTTTAACAATATCCCCCCGTTTGAAGATCGAGTCTAGAGGAATGTCCGTCTTACAGTCGCCGAAGCTTGCACTGAGAGGGGTTGAATCCATGACAACTGGAGTCAGAAGGCTAATTTGATCATCGAGCAGGTCAGGGGGTTGCGGGCCCCGTTCGACTGGTTTGTCACTAATGAGAGAAGATGCTAACTTGTTGAATTCTTGAATGTATGCATTCAGTGTATGTGGACCGTAGAGAGTCGAAGCTCCCTGAAAATCATGAAACATATTCTCATTCAGTCGGTCGTTTTTTCAAGAGAATCAGGTTCTTAGTTATATATACATGCATAATCAAACCAAAAAAACCGGTAAATCCTACACAAAGGTAGGGTGGGAGTAGGATACTAGGATATCTCTATCCTAATGGGTATAGAGTGAGGCCATCTCCGTGAAGATACTCGGCTTGCAAAACAAGCAATGAAAGATAGAGAGCAAGTGACAGATTAGAGTGTGTGCAAAGCGGTAGGGACAAAAGTGCGGAAGTTGGGATAAAACAAAGAAGGAAACACAAAGTACAGTACTGACAACTACTGGTGTAAGAAGAAAAGTTGAGATTAGCGTACAGTAAAAGGTCACACAAGTAGGTACAAAGGTAGACATGCAAAGTAGACACTCTTGGAAATCCATCGCCGGTTATTTAGGAGAATAATCTTCTTACAGATTTTTTATAAAATGTATGACCCTCTGACATATCAAAAAACCGCATCTACCTAACAGAAAAATGTCTCCTAACACAAGAATGTGTCATGCCCCGAGTTAAATAGTCAAATAGTCAATAGGAGTAGGCTGTGTCAAAGGGTCAAGATTAATAGGTTGTGGTAGGAAAGTACAAGCAATTAGTGCTCCGGTACAAGTGGACAGTGCATGGGTAGTAAGTCGGTGGGCATTAAGTATAAATAAGGGGTGTGAGAGTGAGCGGGATTCATTCTGAATTGTGTGTTCAGTTTAGGTGATAGCCTTGGGCGAGTACTGGCCCCTCGAAAGCCAAAAATTCTGTAACTAAACTAGATATCTTATATTAAACCATTCGATTTCTTTAACCCTAATTTTCCTTGGTGTGTATCAGAATGCCTCAGGAAACATCTTTCGGAAGATTATTCTCCTAAATAACCTCATTCTTTTTTACCCCTCCCCTATAGACAAGAATGAAAAATTATAACTTCTGGAGAGAGCGAGAGCGTAAGCAGGAAGTGGTTGGAAAGAAAGGAACACAGATTACGGAAGCGCCAAAAGGAAGTGCAATGTGCAGTCCCACAGGGGTCTTTCACATTATGTGGAATTCTCTCTCGGGTTTTTTATGCTACTGCAACAGTTGATAATATTAACAAAAATATTTGTATATATAATTATATGTATGATATACAGATTTACGGTCGTAAGTCGCGACATGAGAAATGTCATGTCCTGAACTTGGCTCTTAAGACTTGAGGCTCGACCTCACTAACACGCCTCATGTCAGTTACAACCTTGGTTCTAACCAAACCAAACAAAACTAGTATATTCCACCCAAAGATGTTGTTTCCGAGAAGACACCGTCTCTCTTAACTGTTCTGTTTACTGCAATTTTACTCCTGGTCTATCCGAAGAGCCTACTAATCCTAGGGGATTACAGAATAATCCTTGAGAACAGTGTTAACACGGCTTAAGCTACACCTGGTTTACTGCTGCAAAAAAACTGAAATTTCCAAGTTTTATGTGGTAAAGAGCATCAAAGTTTTCATTGAACACAAGAAAACATGTATGGTGATTGCAATTGGCTTGAAGTTGTAAGATGTTTAATGCAAATTTAAAACGATAAAGGGAAGGTATATTTACCTCATATCTCTGAATTTGATATTCCTCAAATGTAGTCACATATTGTGAGTATGTATTTGTAAGTCCTGCTATAACAACATGCACATTGTTATCCGATTCTTCTTTGTCTCCAGATGTCAAAACTTCCTTGACAGCATCACGGAGGCGCCTCCCTGCCATAGTTGTGAATTCTACATGGACAAAAAAACGACATTTATAAGAATGAAAAGTAGGTTTAAGAAGAAAATAAATTAATAAAGTAAATGTGCCAAAAATCAATGAAGCAGCTTTAAAGACGTTAAGAGCATCTCCAACAGTTTCTCCATGATTTCTCCAATATGGAGAATCAAAAGTCAAAATCTCCAAAAAAAAATGGCAGTCAACTCCATCAGCTTCACCATTTTGGAGATTCTAACATTAATTTTATTATTAAAATATTCAATAATATTAAAAAAGGTCCTCTCTCTTTCTCCCTTCAATTCTATTGGTTGGTTGGAGAGTTTTTTCTTGGAAGAACAAGGCCATTCTCTCTTTACACATTTAATTTTGGACGATTCTCCAAATTTCTAGAAACATTCCCTCAATCTCATACTTTCTCCATTTTGGAGGAGATGTTGGAGATGCTCTTAAGTTTCTTCATCGCTCTGACAAGATGGAATGCTAACCAGTGAGACAAGTCATATGCAAAATAAGTCATTTTACACCCAAGAAGTTATGGCATTACTTGACAATGTAATAACATCAAATTCTTTTTAACAATATTATTAACAGATTTACTAGGGGGCTGCAGGATAAATAAAGGGAACAGATGGCCAATAATTACCTCCTGGAACACTGAGGATAACAAGTTGCCCGATTTGCAAAATCTGAATAGGAAGTATGGACGGCTGCATAAATCACGATGAGAAATATGAGAGAACATTTCATAAGCTAAAGCCTCCCACCCATTATAAAGTGTGCACCCACATGAATCTACTAATAATGATGATGGTAACTCTCTTAAGGCATTATATCATCTTAAAACCAACACTGATAGTGACTTATAAGGTCTGCTCTCATGCAAGCACACAAAACTAATGATCTATCAAAATTGAAACTCAAATAATCTTTAAGGTGCATGTTTCATACGCAGAATGAGGGAAATGGAGAACTACTTGTGGTGGTCTCATGAAGTTAAGATACACCAAGATTGCAACTAATATACCAGAATATTCACATTAATCTTAACTAGCTTTTCAAAATTGTATCATATCTAACTTTCTCTCTTTCACACACATTTCATAAGCCAAGTTGGGTTCCCGTGAGAAAGAAAGTTATGGGAGAAGGGTAGAAGGTTCTCCACTCTTGGATCAATCCTAATTGAAGATCAACACTAGTTAGATGCACCGGATCAATTCCCTTCTAAAACGCAACTCATGGGTGACCATGAGATTAAAAGTGATCAAGGGTGGAGATCTCTTCCTACGCTTCTCACTTAACTCTTCTTCTCACACGATCCTTCGCCTCATAAGCCAGGAGTCTTTGTTTGGGGTAGAAGGTCAGGTCTGTATACATCCCTCCCAGAAACAGCCTCTCTACTGGGTTCCTTTGGTTTGTTTAATGTCGGATGGTTCAGGCACTCTGCTTGCGCTCAGTAATAAAAAAACAGCGATCCCTCCCCTTCTGCTTTCATCACTTAATTTGCAACTAATATAACAGGATACATAATTCAAATGTCTTATACGAATGGCATTATTATAACACATATAGTTTGAACCTTTGAGGTGACATTCACGTTATTAATCAGAATGAGCTGAACTTGCAAGAATGAAGCCACTACTAGGCACAGAAGAAAACAAAGTTCTTTCCAAACAGGGACGACGCTACTCCTCTTCATGAGTTAGTATAATAGGTCAAAATATTTGATCCTTTCATCAATGGAATCTATACAACGTGATCTTGAAAATCGAATATGTAACAGGATATAGTGATGTTTTTGTGTTATATCCATTATACTACCACATTCATGATAACTATATGGGTCTGAATTTAGGATAGGTTGAGAGCAAAAGTAATCATGCATAGATTCTTAAATTATGATTTTTAACAGTATAGGTGGATCTTGCTAAGAACTAAAGACAGTATGTCGAACCTAGTACATGTTACAACACAAAAACTACATGAAAATCCATGACAGCATCATTATTGGTAGAATGCCAGACCCCACAAGGACAACCAGTGGAAGGTCAACCACACCGATGATTCCACAAGTGGGGATATGTCTAGGAAAAAGATGTTTCTGGGAAAACTTGGAGCCCGAGCTCACATCAAAACCACCTATAAATAGGTCAAGAAACCTGGTTAAAAAGAACTTCTGATTTCTGAATGCATCATATAACTATTTACTGACTAGGTGCTTCTATTTTGCATAACCTCCTACACTTGGTGTGTAGACTAATTCTCACACTGGCAGTGGTCCAAGGGTCCAAATCCCTTGAGCACATGAAGCAAAAAGTTCTCATATTGTTAGTTGTCCTGAGAACAGCATCCTGTTTACATTCAAATTTTGAAGTTCACTTCTTACATCTTTTCACATAATCTCAAATCACTGTTATACCTGAGGGTTAATAAGTCATTGTAATAAAACTGGGTAATAGAAGTACAAGTGGCTAATGCTTAGATAGTACAAGTATGCAATGCAAGGTTTTATTGAGTCTCAGCATTACTAGTATAAATAGGAGGTAGGGGTTTGAGAAGAGGCACTCTGTTTTGTTATTTCATTGGCGTGAGCCTTGGGAGAGCCCCAGCCTCTCGAAAGCTAGTTTCCTTTCTTGTAATCATAAATTTTGCTAGTAGTAAATCATATGAAACCCTAGGATTCTGCCAATTTGAGCATCCGAGTATATCAGTCACATCATACATATGACACACAGCTTAGAACACATTGATGACATTCTGCTCATCCCCAAAAAGCTTCCCCTTTATCTTCAATACACCATTTATAAATTCAAAAACATAAAACAAAATAATGTTTAAAACCAAAAAAATAAACAATTATAGACATTTCCTGTAATGAGAACTAGGTTAGATTAGAGTTGGAGTTTTACTCACAGCCCAGTCATATGGTTCATGCATTTCACCAGTGTCAATCAGAATGGGTTTTGGATCCTGACAATTGATCTGCTTCTCATCTGGCTTTTTCAGTAAGCCTCCAACAAGCTTCCAAAAGGCATTTCCCTAAAGATCATTCAAAACATTACCATTGCACGTCTTAGAGCCATTTAAGAAGATGCTGAAGGTGTGTAGGCATGTAATGTAAGCTTATAACCTCGTCATCTCCCTGCTTGAAGTCAAATGCTCCAGGTCCGTCAGTGGTTCCAGCAGCAAAAGAAAAGCCCATGGCAGCAGGGCATGTTCTGACCAATTCATTACTTTCTCCAACTTCTGACAATTGGACTGGGAGGTCAGAGAAATCAATATATGTGTGTCGATACCTTACTGTTCCTTTCAGTTGTTCAGAAGCATTTTGGAACAGCTCCATAGCTTTTTCAAACTGTCTTTCACCAATGATACGTGTACTCTCAAATTCATCTGGGTAACTGTCAAAGAAAATGGCATACATGTTTTCATTCTAGGTAGTCTTGAAACTCCTAAAAGTGGCATATTCCTCCCTCCTTCCCAAAATAAATGTCCATAATAGAAAAAACAATCAGTTTTAGAGATGTGTAATTATTACACTGTAGTTATTAATTAACTGAATGACAATTATACCTATAATAAAAAAGTGCACAATTCTAGTAATGCATAATTATTCCGCTGATGAATTTCTCTACCTCATCAACTCTTAAATATTTGTGAGTCAAAATTAAGGGAATGATTGAAAATTTAGTAAATTATAACCATCTGCTTTTTAAAGTTTGTACTTATTTTGGGACAAACTTAAATAGAAATGTCGACACTTATTTTGGGACAGAGGGAGTATGAGGAAGGTACAAACCCTGGACCACGGCCATAGCACAGTTCACTTCGACCATTGCAGGTACTCTGATTGAAATCACAGGGCAAGCCAGTGTCTATGCAAAATGCTCCAAGCACATTCGGGCTTACATCGCCACAATTTGATTGACAAAATGCAGATATGAATTGAGGGCGTTCAGCCTGCCTAAGGGTACTCCTGACTCGTTTTGCAACACTTAAAGCTCTTGTAACAGGTCTTCCAGGAGAAGACTGGTAGGTGGAAGCAATGTCCATCAACTTTTTACCTGTGTGGGGAAGAGATTATAAGAGGCCTTATCTTATACATTTTGCATAAAGCAAGAAAAGTATGTACCAACAGCCAGATAACAAATCACCACCAGCGTCTAGTCTCTACACTCGAAGGGGTCTCCATACATGTGCATGACTATATTTGTAAAAAGATAATCTAATTGCTTTAGGTAATTCAGAAGATCTTTCACGAATGAACTTTTACTGAGATCCTATAAATAGCATCAAATCACAAGAACACTAGAGAACCAATGCACCCGCCCTCTATCCTCCGGTTGACATCGCCAAACTTTTAAGGCACAAAGTAGCATGTATTTTGATAATTTACAAGTCAAATACGATACAAGATTAAACTTACGGTGTTCATGAAAATCTGGAATTATGTTGGAGATTCTTCGAGGTACTTTATAAGCCCCAGATTTGATGAGTGATTGGCTTTCGAATCCTTTGTGCATGACATCTGTATTATACCAATCCTCCATAAATCGTGCAGCTGCGCCTTTATTGTCACCACTAATCAATGAATTTGTACGGCTCATAGACGTTCCATGAGTCGCAAACCAATTAAAGCTTCCAATAGGACCCCACTCTTCATCTACAAACTTCATGAGTGTCATTTCTTTATCAGTGTCGTATTTATAATTTCTCCTTTCTTCTTCTGGATTATTGAGATAAGCACTGGGACTACGGTTTATGCTAGCATCTAAGAGCTCTCCTGCAAATTTAACCTAATGATCAGAGCCCTGAAAAACAAGATACATGAGCTACCTTTGTTCTAAGTAATCAATAGTCAAGTGTGCCAATCCTGACTCATCCTTCCTATGTGGTTCGTTTAACTAGATGTAGCATCAAGAACTGGTAGGCCAATGCAAAGAGTAAGAATTCTAAGCTCTACATTACGTCCATTATGCATGAGTTGGTATTTTCTAAGAATACTTGAGATTATTCAGCAAAGACAACAAATATGAAATAATTGTACTTATCGCAGCTTGTGCAAATGATTAATTAATAAGAATTGCTAAATTTATTCAATATTATATCCACTTAGTTATTTTTTATGATTAGATAGATAGGTCTAGAATCCACATGAACTCCAACATGTTTTACTCATAGATGCGACTCAACTGAAGAACTTTATAGGTACATAAAAGGGTGAACAGCTTATTTGCATGAGCAATTTAGTTCCGAAAAAAGGAACAATATATGGTTATTATCAGAACATTTGAAAAAAAAACAATTAGCAGTAACTCTAACTGATTTAGGATACCTTTATTTATAAAGATAGAACCTGGACGAAGATTCTCATGAGCTTGGGTGATGCTTTTTTCAATGCCATCCACAAGGGCATTGAAGGATTGTTGTACAAAACCAAGAGATGTTATAATATATACAACATATTGAAGATATCCTCCAGGCCCAGCATGAGTATGGATCCCACTGATGGCAACATTATCCTCCGTATATAGGTCACCATACCTTTGTCATTAAAAAAAAGAGAGATTGGAATAATTCGGATATGGTTATTGAAAGCAGTCTAGTAATGTTAAAAGAGCCTGCAGCAAACTAACACTGTAATGATACATAAGCATGGTTATTTTTTCAAAAAAAATCCTTTTTCCTAGTACCACCGTCCTACTATCTTCTCACCGACCCCACCCCTCCTAGCATATCTTTTGACTTGGTGAACACGCAAATACATAGCATTGAGGAAATGGGATTACGGAGAAAAGGACGATTACTTCAAATGATTTGCAACAGACATAGAATGAAGTGCGCTTAAAACTGCAAGGTTAAAGTTCATTAGAAGTATCAACCTTGCCTTCAATCTTTCTATTACTTTAATTGTAACAAGCTGTGAAGCCATGCAAACATCAAGGTTCACAAATACCACGGAATTCCCTTGAGGTTCTGCGACAATGAATGTACGAGCTCGCAGTCTGAAATGAATTCCAGAGGTAGTTTGTTCAATATTAGCATATCCCATCATATTGACATCTGCAGCAGGTCCTGTAATGTCATAGCTTCCAAGACCAATCAAGTTCGTAGATTCAGACGAGGCCCCTCTGCACTTTACTAGTACCAAAAAAAGGCTCACTAATAAGCACATGCTCGTGGATAGCTTTTGTAGTACAGAACGCGAGGGGGGAGGCAGCTTCATAGCTTCTCTCATAGATGGTGAACTTTCAAAATATTGTCTCCATCCTCTGGGGAAGAAATAAAGTAGAATAAGATACAAAAGCATCCACAAATTTGAACTTAGGAGGCCACACAATGAAAGCTGTTTATAGACAACTCACAGTCAAAAGAATGTAGCTAAAAATGATATCAATGCCAATGTCATCCATGAGATACTACCCACATGGACCCAAAAGCAAACTTTTGCTCAATCATGATTAACACATTACCCTATATTATTATCTAAACTTACAACAAGCTGCTTTCAAACATCAAAAAGACCAAATTTCATATTTTTCTTATGTATCTGCCAGTTCAAAAGCATAAGCAAGTGAGATAACAATATTTCTTTTCCAAGAGTAAGAATGGATTTAGCAATAGGAAATCATTGTAACCGCCCATTTCATCACATGTCTTGGATCAATTCCTCTAACGGTTGATGATGGGTTTTTTAGTTTTTCATTTTTTAGCATTTTCCCCTAAACCTGAGTCTCTCTCTCTCTCTCTCTCTCTCTCTCTCTCTCTCTCTCTATATATATATATATATATATATATATATATAATCTAGGTAGAAGTATTTAATACATAATAACCTGAGTCTCTAGGTAGAAGTATATAATACATAATAACCTAAGTCTCTCTCTCTCTATATATATACATATATATATAGGTACAAGTATTTAATACATAATAGCAATACAAATTTTTGTTGTTAAAATGTAAAGACATCATAAAAAATTCAATTTTGAAAATAGCAGTTCCAAGCTCAAACGCATAAACTGGATCCTGACTGTCACCAAGCACTCCTAAAAATTGGGAAGACTCAATTGGTGTCAATAAGTTGTACAAAACTTAACACCACAACTTGATTACTTGTAGCATTTGTAATGATGATTTATATAGTCATATAATGATATAATTTCCTATAAAAAAATACATATAACCAATATACGAGTTATGAAGCTGATCATTTAGCATGTCTGACCTAAAAAGTTTACCGTATATCAACAATTAGGATCATCAAAAAAGTAATCATTTGTTGAAGAAGATTATACAAAATAACCAAACAAGCATTACCAACCCTAAATCCTTATCATTACCAATTCAATCGTAGACTAAATCAAATACCGAATCAAATTAGGAACTTTTACCATAGTACAGAGAATTCAATCTATTAACAAATCCCTAATACTTGTTAGTTCTTAATTTTCACCCAATGTCACATAATCACAGTTTAGATTAAGCTTCTGGTACATGATGCAATTATAAACACAAAATGAGTAACTATTTAAAGCTAACTTGAACCGAATGGTAAATTTACCTGATTTTGGAATGCAATAACTTCGAAATTGGTGGGAGCGAGGAGCTTTACAGGCTAGAGTAGCTTCAAACATGAAGCTTGAAGATTTTATTGTCAAGGATGAGGTCCTTCTCGAAGTTGTCAGTTGTTTGGGTTTACGTGGTACAGGTATGACCGTATGAAGATGAATTTGCAGATAAGTCCTCCCAATATAGTTAGTTTCAATAGTGCCCCCTCATATCTTAAAGAATGTGTTTGACAAACTAGCCGTTAACCGTTGATTGATAACTTAGGGTTTGATTGATTTTCCAATAAGTTGACTGTATAGATTAATCTGCCTGTATAGATTATGAGGTCTTCTTTCATATATGGAAGAAAAGTGTTTTTTCTAGTTTCAAGAGACAGTTTTGTCTATATAAATTAATCTGTCTGTATAGATTATGAGGTCTTTTTTTTCTTCCATATATGGGAGAAGAGTGTTTTTTCTAATTTTGAGGAAAAAACAGATTTTGTGCATAAAGTTTCTTTTAAAAATTTACTAAGTAATCCCTCAACTAGCAAAAGTTGACATATTGAGCACAAAAGGTCCACATAATCATGCAAAAAACACAAATACGTTAGATTTATTTTGGCTTTTGGGTAATTTAATGAGCCATTCGAGTTTGAGTTTGAGAATTTCAAGCTCGGGCTCATAATTCTCAAGCTTGAATACAAAATAAGATCATTTAACTTAATGAGTTGAGTTGAGTTTCAAGATATCAATATTCGATTTGGCTCGTTCGATTAATTTTTCAAGCGGTACATATTTTCATGTTCATAAATTATACAAGTAAAATAAAAAAAATTATCGAGCTCGAGTCAACAAGTGAGTCAAATGATTTTGTGTTCGAGTATTATAAATGTTGAAAATTTTAGGTCATAATGTGTAACTCAAAATTGTTAAATTGGCATCGAGCTCCAGCTCGAACATTAAAAATATATTTGAGTTCAAAGCGAATCAAAATAACTTGTTGCTCGACTCGTTACAAACAATTGTAATGATATTTGAAAACTAAGTAATTAACAAAATGTGTATCGCTTGTTTTTATATAAAAAAAGAGAATAATTTTTTTATTAGAACATACAAACTATAATATCCCACTTGAAAATAACGTCTAAATATGAAGATGTAGATGGACTTTTTCTCAATCTCAAGAGACGTTAGTTTCAAGAAATATAGAATGTTATTAAGAATGCTAAATTGTTTACCCTTAAATCTTAACTTAAGGCAATTTATCAAATACTTATCGGGCAAGTGCTTACCAGCAAAAATCCCAACCTTCCTTACCTTATTGGGTAATATTTTTGGCCATTAAAATGGATTGTTGTCTATGTGCATCTTGTAAGGTAAATGACACCTGGTAAGCAAGAATTGGATAAGTGCTCGATAAACAACCCCTTGGTGTTTTTACATTTTGGAGCCGTTTATCTAGCACTTACAAGGTAAGCGGTTATTGGCAAGCGTCACAATTCTCACTTACCTTATCGGGTAACATTCTTGATCATCAAAATAGATTGATGGTAAACGTTTATCATCCAATAAGCACTTGTCGAATAAGAGTCGCCACCCTCACCAGATAAGACTCTCAATCAATCATCACCTTCCCTCTTACTTGGTAAAATTCTCGGTCATTCTTATGCTCACCCGATAAGGTAATTGACCCGATAAGTGTTTAGTAACCGACACCTGACTCTTCATTTAACTTGATTATTAATAGAGATAAATACAAGCCGGTGTAAACACCTAATAATTAATCCAAAAAAAAAACTTCATCTCTTGCATTGCACCCTTTCAACACAAATCAAAACTTAGGATACAACCTCATCTAATCCAACAACTTTTGACAAAATTCCATAAAAATGTGATCAAAACTTTGAGGAATTAAACAGGACTTCTGTAATCTGGCTACATGACTTTAAATTCCACAACTCAATGCCTCCTTTGCTTTGCACGTTTCCACGAGCTTTTACCTTTGATCTTCCATTTATCAACCCCGCCTGGCTGGTTTTTCTCTTCAATCTCTCGGACCTTCCGCTTCCTAAAACAACAAGCATATCATATATATGTGTATATATATATATATATCAAAAACAAGTTGGTGGGCATCCTTGCAGAATGAGAGGGAGGTTGGGTTTGCCTCCCCCTGGGACATACGACTTACCTCCGATGATAGTCATAGGACCAGTGGTGGGGTGGAGTCATACCCTTTTGCAAAAAGCAAGCAACTAGGAAAGCCTCACAGACTGAGGGGCCGTTTACCAAATGCTTATTGGGTAAGCGTTTACTGACAAGAGTCACCACGCTTACTCACCTTAACGGGCAACATTTCTTGCCATCAAAACGGATTGATTGTAAGCATTTATAACCCGGTAAGTATTTACCAGGTAAGAGTCAGCACCCTTACGGGTAAGATTCTCAGTCCTTGTTATGTTCACCTTATAAGGTAATTGAACCCCTAAGCACTTACCAAGGTAAGTGTTTAGTAAACGGTCCTAATTAACCTCCGCATTTGGGTTATGTTCGGTAAAAATTAGCTAGCTATTGGCCAATAAGTTAATGATTTTGGTTGATAAACGAATCATGTTTGGTAAAAACTAGCTTGATAAAGCTAGATGACAATGTAAAATAATCTAAAGGGACATGTTTAAAAATTACTTGGAAAAACATAAGGAGAATAACTGGGAAAAAGAAGTGGAAAAAATACTTTGGAGCTTCTTCAAACGTTACTTGAAGTGGATTTTCAAAAAGCTAGCTTATGGCTAACGAAACGGAGCTTTTTCAATAAACTCAAAAAATAAGCAAGCTTATGGTTGCCAAACATGGCGTTACTCTCACCTGTAAACCTTGAGTGACTGATCAGATAATAGCTCATCAGCAAGAGTTGGTTTCCTTTCTTTCTTTGTAAGTCTACTGGTGAAATACTCTGATACTGGCTCCACAACCGTTCCAACCTGACAATTTCAAATACTCTCATTAATCTACCTCGAACTCAAGAAAGCCGAACAAACCAAACACACTCGGTATGTCCCACTAAAAAGTCAGGTATCGGGGTGGGATGTAGGCAGACATCTCCACTCCAAAGAGTAAAGTTGAAAAGAATGGAGAAGCTTGAGTCCAAAAAATTATAAATAAAAAACAGAGCGCATTCGAGAAAAAGAATGTTACAAAGTGAAATGATGAACCTACCTGGAAATATTTTGGGAATATGTTTAATTTGGAGTCACCCTTCTTATAATGCCTCTTTGGATCAATCACGTTTCGCAACTGCAAACACCAAGAATTGTTACAAAGTGAAATGATTTTATATCTTTCTAGGAGGAAAGATACAAAGTAGACACCATCAAAGTCTGTAAGAATCCATCCATAATCGACGACCATCATACATCAGCCATTATAGTCTAATATCAAGAAACTCAAACGGTAAAGAATAATTGTGTGCTATAAAGGAAATCAAAGATGCAGCTATGATAAATGATAATCTTTTTTTTCCTGATTTTCTCATCCTGCGGCCATCCGTTTCACCATTTTTCCCTTCTCTATAACCACCTTCTCTTTTGACACCACCACAGGAAATCAATTCAGTTCATGCATAAGCTTTAGTCGTTCAAAAATTAGAAGCCCGTAAACCTGTGTGACAATATAAACATTGCAAAGTGCAGCACAACAAATACAACATGGACTATTGAGGAGTTCATATTAGGCTTTTCCTATATATATGATAGATAAATTCCTCTTTAAGTTCATAACAATCTTTTCCTTTAGCAGAATGCTCAATACTTTCCTTTCTCATTTTCTACATTAAGTTTATGGATTTCAAAAATAAAAGTTGCTGAAGTAGCTTACAGAAAAAGACAGAAAACAGAACTCTTTACTAGACAACCTGTTGAAAGAAACAACAGAATAGGTGACAATGAACACAGCCTTCTCCAAAACTCTTAAGGGAAAAAGACTACATTCACCACATTGAAGCAAAAACAAACAACTTAAATATTACTGACTATACCAGCTAAGATAATAAGTATAACACTAATGATTTCTGATCTGTCCATAGCAAACCAGACACATCCAATTGGCCAAGAAGCATCGTGGATGAATGGAGGGGGAAAAGAGGCATGTAACTAGGGAGAAATGGGGTCAATGGAGCAAGAGGGATTGGGTTGCATAGAAATTAGGTAGTGAGCTCAGCAATATGCTAGCAGACAAGCTCTCGCTTTTCATTTCTTAACAATGCATCGTCATAGCTGTCGGTCTTCAACCCATCAACCTGGACCCTATCTGACGAACCTAATGGCTTGTTCGTGTTCATAGCTTTGTGAGTCATGTTCATGGTTTGACTGTGTCAATACTGGACTATCTAAGCGAGAGTGGGGTAAGACGTGTGAGTTAGGGTGAATTTTTGGTTAAGTTGGTGGGTTATCGTCATAATGATGATATATGTATGAGATGCCCACTAAACCCCTCTAAAGATGTGCAAGCCACTTTCTTATGGAGTTAAAATGAGGGACCAAGAAGTCCTGGAACTAAGCCTACAGGTTACAACAATGGCCAAGGACAGTTTTTTTAAATATAATCTATCTAATAAGAATCAACAATGGAAAATATTTCCATGAATGATGAGAAGTGAAGGCACCTTCAGCAGCTTAAGATCTTTTTTCAACTCAGGCGTGAGTGTAGGAGCAGGCATATCAAACCTACACACATTTCAAACATGCTTAAGTCAACTTCAGCTGAATCCCGGAAAAAACTTGGATATATGATTTGAGTACAAAGTATTTCATTAAGAATGTGAACATACCAATTCTTTCCAGTTGTGTCTTTGACTTGCTTCTTCAGTAATTTGTTTACCTTTTTGGGATCGTGAGGTGGAACGAAAAGCCCATCAATGAGCTCTGACTTGGGCTTATATACCAGACTACTTTCTGATACATTTTGAGACTTGGCATTCGACCCACCTTTTGTACCAAATAAAAGAGAAGGTAGCTTTGGTTCCCATGACAGACCGATCACTTTCTTATCTTCAAGCATTCTGTTTCCTATGAAAAAACCAAACTGTTAGCCTCTGCTTCCAATATAAAAGTGACACTAGTGAATTCTCAAATGCAGCAGAACTTTTTGCAGACATCATAATTTTCTAGATCCACTATATATATATTTATTATAAATAGTCATGTACTCTTGCGATGCATTGGGATGCAATATTTTATCTTTTGTACCAAATAAAAGAGAAGGTAGCTTTGGTTCCCATGACAGACCGATCACTTTCTTATCATCAAGCATTCTGTTTCCTATGAAAAAACCAAAACTGTTAGCCTCTGCTTCCAATATAAAAGTGAACACTAGTGAATTCTCAAATGCAGCAGAACTTTTTGCAGACATCATAATTTTCTAGATCCACTATATATTTATTATAAGTAGTCATGTACTCTTGCGATGCATTGGGATGCAATATTTTATTTTAACCCAAGAATCGAAAATTAATAGAATTTCTCAATAAAAAACAAATTTGGAAATTTATGTTTGAATTAAATCGAAATTACAAAATGTGGACTTGTTACGTCTTACTAATTCGAACACCTGGAAAGAAAAACTCAAAAAAATTATATACCAGACTACTGTATGACACTAAGGGGCTGTTCGGTTGGTTTTCCATTAAATCCTATATGGATTAAGCTGTTTGTATTGATTATCTGTATGACTTAAGTTGTTGTTCGGCTGGCCTGCCGAATAAATAATCTAAATGTTAGAAATGACTATTTTACCCATAGCTATATTAAACACTGTATGTGCAAACACCACATTTCTTTTAGCCATCTCATCAAACACCTTCTACAACAAACAAAGAGCCATAATCTAATTGAGGCTTGAAAAAAATGGACAACAAACAAGAAATTAATAGAAATCAATCAATGTAGGTATCGATCAAAGACTTCCTCATCTCATCCATGATGGTATCATAGGTATCCCCCACTTGAAGGTGGGGTCTAGGGAGGGTAAGATGTATGGAGATTTTTCCACCCGCTCTAATAGCTCCGAATAAATTAAATACATGCATTAAGATTTTTCTTCATATTTTTTATTTTTGTCGAGTATTTTGAACTTCAAATTTTGGTTTGTGAAAAGTGCCAAATGGAATTTCAAAGACCAGAAAGAGTTTATATCAAATCATAACAGAGAATATTACAGACAATTGTCTGCCAGAAAACTTCAACACCAAGAACATCGGCTATCACCGTGACCAGGGACAACTTTAAATTGGATCAAATGCCCGCAAAGCCACTCGAAATGTTTTTAGCTGAACTCCACCTTCGAGGGATTTTTGAGTTTTTTGGTTGATTTGGAGGGATTTTTTTAAAGTTTTTTGGTTGATACCGGGAATTTTTCTTGGTTTTTTGGTTGATTTCGAGAGAATTTTTATGGTTGATTTCAAGGGTCTTATTCAGTTTTTTGGGTTGATTTTGTAAAAAATCTCAACTTTAAGGATTTTGATTCTCGTTATGGATCTAGGATTTTAGTACTGATGTTTTGCAAATTAATATCAACTAACCAAATTTAAAGAACCCTAGATTGATTAAACAAACTAACATCAACAAGACAACAACTAAGGTTGAGAAAATCAAAATAAGCAAGAAAATTAACATCAAACTAACAGATACAAGGCAAATAGTCAAAACCAAATGTAAAAACTCAAAACAAACAAATAAATCATGTTACAAATCAATGAAATCATGTAAACATAATTGTATAATATTATAACTAAAGTTAGGGCAAATGAAAGGATTTAGGACGATTATATTTGAGTTGGGTTTTGGAACAAAACCTGAATGAAAGATCGAGAGCGTGACTGAGAGAGTATGATAGCCGAAGTCAGGGCCGGTCCTGAGATTTTTGGTGCCCACGGTGAAAAGTCCAAATGATGCCCAATTAAAAACATACAAGTGTGGTAATTTACAATTGTCTAGCTTTTTCCTTCATAGACCGAGAGATCCATTAGTGTTTTTTGTTCATAAGTGTGATTGTATAGTTGAGTGTTTACCTTAAAATAATATATTAAAGTTTCTTTAATCAAATTGTTATAGCCCTTGCGTTTAAACACTAACTCACCTACTTGTCCCATTTACTACATCCCACGTCTTCTATATAAACCAAAATCGTCTTCTATATAAACCAAAATCAACACTCGTACCTTCTTAATCCAACTCCAAACACTTAATTGGTTGGTTCTTCTTCAATTATTTACACTCTACAACATCAATGGCCCATTCCTACTTCACTARTTTTGTCCTACTAGTTTTAGTCACTTAAGGTGTTTGCCTATGAAATTAGCTATTGCATGACTCCATTAGTCCATCATGTGTTTCATATAATCATATTTAGGGTCTTGACCAATGATAATCATGAGTTTCATATGTAAAATTGTAAAGTTAAGGGAGAACAGTCAAGTGAATTAGTTACTGCACATTCAAGTGAGGGCAAATCATCACTTAACTACTGCACATTTATAGGTCTATTCAACTATATTAGAGTTGCTGAAATTGTGTTAATATACATCAAAATCTAATGGGATTAGAACAAATATCGGTGGATGATAACTTGAATATTAATCACAGAACGAAAAACTACAACTTCAGAGATAGGCTTGATTGATTCGATGAACAGCTAGATCAATTAATAACAATAGTATTCATTTAACTTTAAACAAACATAAAAACTTACTTGTGCAGTTGAAGAGTCAATCTAAGAGAAATCAACAATGCAAGCTTCTGATAATTTCTGCAGCAAATTACTTTCCTCTACCTCTTTTCCTGTACCTAGGCTGGGATTAAAGAAATAAGGAATATTAMCATGCCAAATAACCAAACTTACAATAAACTCAAAACTTGAAAGCTCACCATTAACCAAAGACTCAGGCTTCCTACACTTAGAAACATAAATGACAAACCACAAAGGACATTATAATACATGATACAGTATGTATAATTAACAGTCAACCACCCAACAATTAACAAATGGCAGCAAAACGCATGGATTTCAATTAGGATTTAGGCATACATGATACATTAACATTACTAAATTCTAATTTTGAGGTTTGTAACAAGTGAAACAAAAACAATCGGTGAGTCAAACAAATTAAAATAGTCCAACAAAGCAAGTCACAGATTTCTGAATTTCACAATCACAGCTTCTAAGCTAGTTTCATTATTAGGTTTTCCAATCAAACAAAATTAAAAATTTAAATAATAAAGTAAGTAAAATAACTAAATAAGTACTATAATAACCCGAAGTTAAAGACTTAAATGTTAAATCCCTAACCTCAATGGCTCAACAGTAAACACAAGAGAGAGGGCAACGGGCGAGTGGCGAAGGGCGGAGGCCGGAGAGCGAGAGTGGGAGCCGGGAGGCAGAGAGCGAGAGCGACTGGCGACGAGAGAGGCAGCCGCAGACGGCAGACGGCCGTCGATAGGCGAGAGAGGCAGAGGAGAGAGCGTCGAGCGAGAGCGAGAGAGCCAGCCGATTGCGATTTCGATTTCTATTGAGAGTGAACACAGACGAAGCGAGAGTCGAGACCCGAGGATGAATGGATGATGGACATGGGCTGGTAAGTGGTAACGGACTAAGGTTAACGCTAACGATAATATTTTTAGGCCCAAATAAAAACTGAATCTACAATTCTACATACATACACATTGGGCTTTACGATTTTTGATGCTATTAGGCTTTATGTTGTCATGGGCCTTCGCCGCTCTGGCCTATGGCCAAAGCCGGCCCTGTTTACATGAATGAGGTTCTAGTGGTGAAATATAGATCTGACCATTGTTACACTTTGTTCCACATAATAGTTTTATCAAATGTGAAACCGTGATCGTTGTTCTGTTCGGTGTACCAATCATACCTTAAGGTGGCGTTTGATTCGCATAATGTTTTTGGATGAAATGTAATCTGTTAAAGGAATTTGACTTTGAAGGTATTTGAATGTAATGTTGTCAGGTTTGACCACATGTTTGGTTGACAGACATTGGAATGAGACCTGTCAAGAAATTGAAATATGTCTGTTTGGTTTATCGAATGTACCTCTGGAATTGGAATGATATATTGGTAAATGACCAAAATGCACTTTTTCAAAAATTTAATATTTTTAAAACTAAAAATACTTTAATAAAATAATTATTTAATATGTAAAATAATATAAAATACACAACCCAAATATAACCATAAGTCAAACGACGTTACTAAATCGACGGTGGTCGACGATGGTTTAGATCGGTGGTGGTCCACGATAGTTCAGAGGTGGTGGTCCGCAGTGGTTCAAATGGCGGTGGTTGACAGTGGTTCAGATCGATGGTAGTTCACAGTGGTTTAGATGAACGGTGGTATAGATCGACTGTGCGACGGTGGTTCAAATTGGTGGTTGTTCAAATCGTTGGTGGTCGGCGGTGTCCGACGGTGATTCAGATCGGTGGTAGTCGCTGGTAGTTGGCAGTAGTTCAGATCGGTGGTAGTCGTTGGTAGTAGTTCAGATCAGTGGTGGTCCATGGTGGTTCAGGTGGCGATGGTCGAATGTGGTTCAGATCGGCGGTGGTACAGATCGAGGGTGGTTCATATCAGTGATGGTCGGCGGTGGCTAGCGGTGATTCAGATCGGTAGTAGTTGGTGGTGGTTTAGATCGATGATGGTTTGTGATGGTTCAGATCGGTGATGGTCCATGGTGGTTTAGATGGTCGTGATCGACTGTGGATCAAATTGGTGGTGGTTCAGATCATGGATGCTCGGTCGTGGTTCAAATCGGTGGTGGTGGGCGGTGGTTCAAATGGCGATGGTCGACGATGGTTCAGATGGCGGTGGTCGATGGTGATTCAGATTGAGGGTGGGCGGAGATGGTCGACGATAGTCATATTAGGTTCTATAAAATTAAGTTATACAGGGTTAAAAGACATACTTAGTATTATGAAAATAGAGAATTTCATTCTATCAAAATTAAGAAATGTTAAATTTCTTTATTTGTAAAAACTTGAAGATTGCTTTTGTGTAAAAGAGTAAACCAAACGAGAAAATATAATTTAGTCAATCGAATTCAACATTTAAATTCCAACAAATTTCTGAACAGAACTCCTTTGAAATTACCAAATTCAGATGTCAGAGTCAAACAACAATGCAAGCAAATGCTAATTTTAAATAGTTATGAATAACATTACCAATCAAAACATACATTCAATTACAACCCAAAACTGAAATGCAAGTATAAACACTATAAGTAGCAAAACATAAAACAAGCTAAGTAAAAGGTCAATTTTCATCCTCAAAAGAAAGCTAAAAAAACAGGAACCATAGTTATGGTGGAGTTTGGCCGTTAACGATATCAAACATAGGTATCGATCAAAGACTTCCTCATCTCATCCACGATGGCACTCGGTTGGGCTTCTCGCAACTTGAAAACACTCTCGATCACAGATAATTCAGTTGCGGTAGTGTCCGAACCRCAAAAAGCAGTCCAATCATTGACCGTTATGCCGGCAGCTATCACTTCACTACCACGATTCACCGTGCCCGCCACTAAAGGTACTTGAAGGAGGGTTGACAATTCATCCAAGTCTTCAATAGAGGTATGAGGGTGAACCTGCAAGAAGCAGAACCACCATTTCTGTAAACCAAACCAAACAAACCCATATATCCCA